TGTAGTGTCACAATCATAGATCACTGTAACCTCAAACTCCTAAGCTTAAGTGATCCTACTGCCTCAGTCTCCAGAGTAGTTAGGACTACAGGTATATACCATCATGCCCAACTAATTTTATTTTTTGTAAAGACAGGGTCTCACTGTGTTGCCCAGGCTGGTCTCGAACTCCCAGCCTGAAGCTCTCCTCCTATCCCAGACTCCCAAAGTGCTGGGATTATAGTAGTAAGCCACCGTGCCTGGGCACTTGTAATTCTAGTTTTCTTCCTATTTCCACCACATGGGCAGTTATATCCTCAACTCAAGTTTTGAACTCCTCAAAGTCATCCAACAAGGGTTAGAATCAGCTTCTTTCAAACTCCTGGTAATACTGACATTTTAACTTCCTTCCATGAATGTTCCTAATGGCATCAAGAATGGTGAATCCTTTCCAGAAAGTTTTTGATTCTGCCCAGATTCATGGAGAAATAACTTTATAGGGGAACTTTAGCCTTACAAAATGTATCTCTTAAGTAATAAGATTTGAAAGTAGAAATTACTCCCTGATCCACGGGCTGCAGAATAGTTGTTGTGTTAGCACACATGAAAACAACATTCATCTCATTTATCTCTCTCAAAGCTCTTGAGTGACTAGATGCATTGTCAATGAGCAGTAATATTTTGAAAGGAATCTTTCTGAGCAGTAAGTCTCAATGGTGGCCTTAAAATATTCACTACTCCATACTGTAAACAGATGTGCTGGCATCTGGGCTTTGTTGTTCCATATACAGAGCACAAGCAGAGTAGATTTAGCATCATTCTTAAGAGATCCACAGTTTGTGGAATGGTAAGTGAGCATTGGCTTCAACTTAAAGTCACCAGCTGCATAAGACTCTAACAAGACAGTCAGGCTGGCCTTTGAACCCAGGCACTGACTTCTCCTCTCTAGCTATGAAAGGCTTAGACAGCATCTTTTTCCAATATCAGGCTGTTCCATCCACATTGAAAATCTGCTGTATAGTGTAGCCACCTTCATCAGCAATCTTAGCTAGATCTTCTGGATAACTTACTGCAGCTTCTCCATCACCACTTACTGCTTCACCTTGCATTTTTATGTTACAGAGATTGCTTCTTTCTTTAAACCTTGTGAACCAACTTCTGCTAGCTTCAAATTATGTATCATATATATATATATATATTTTTTTTAAGTTTCTGGGTACATGTCCAGGATGTGCAGGTTTGTTACACAGGTAAACATGTGTCATAGCGGTTTGCTGTACCTATCAACCCATCACCTAGGTATTAAGCCCAGCATGCATTAGCTATTTATCCTGATGCTCTCCCCACATCCCACTGCCTGACAGGCCCCAGTGTGTGCTGTTCTCCTCCCTGTGTCCATGTATTCTCATTGTTCAGCTCCCACTTATAAGTGACAACATACAGTGTTCGGTTTTCTGTTCCTGTGTTAGTCTGATGAGGATAATGTAGCTTCCTCACCTCTCTCAGCCTTCACAGAATTAAAGAGAATTAGGGTCTTCCTCTGGTTAGGCTTTGACTTAAGGAAATGTGGCTAGTTTGATCTTCTATCCACACCACTTAAACTTTCTTCACATCAGCAATAAGGCTGCTTTGCTTTATCACTTGTGTGTTCATTGCAGTAACACTTCAAGAACTTTATCTTTTAAATTATAAATTTCCTTTGAAAACTGGACCTTTGTATTCACAACTTGGTTAACTGGTGCAAAATGCCTAGCTTTTGGCCTATCTTGGCTTTACACAGGCCTTCCTCTCTAAGCTTAATCATTTCTAGCTTTCTGTGGAAAGTAAGAAACATGAAACTCTTCCTTTCTCTTGAACACTTAGAGGCCATTATAGGGTTATTAACTGGCCTAATTTCAATACTGCCTTGTCTCAGGGAATAGGGAAGCCTGAGGAGAGGGAAGAGGGAATTGCGGGTCAGTGAGGCTGTCAGAACACACATTTACCGATTAAGTTTGCCATCTTACAGGTGTGATTCATGACACCCCAAAACAATTACAAAAGTAACATCAAAGATCAACACACTTGACGTGAGAGTAATGAAAATGTTTCAAATATTGCAAGAATCACCAAAATGTGACAAAGAGACATGAAGTGAACATAGGCTGCTGGAAAAATGATGCCTACAAACTTGCTCGACGCAAGGTGGCCACAAGCCTTCAATTTATAAAAATCACAATTATCTGTGAAGCACAAAGAATAAGGTGTGCCTTTATATGAAACTCTGGGGTCAATCATAATATTTAAGAGAGCAAAAGGGTAACAATACCAAGAAATTTGAGAACTGCATATCCCAAGGTTTAAGTTAAAAATCAGTGAGAATAACCACATTACCAAAAGAAAAAAAATCACACAATCATTTTAACAAACAGAAAAAGCACTTAACAAAATTTAATAGTCTTTCATAATTTTAAGTTGTAGTGAACTACAATAAGACAAGATGTCCACTCATTTTGTTCCTTTTTTTTTTGAGGTGGAGTCTCGCTCTGTTGTCCAGGCTGGAGTGTAGTGGTGTGATCTCAGCTGACTGCAACCTCCGCCTCCTGAGGCCAAGCAATTCTCCTACCTCAGCCTCCTGACTAGCTGAGACTACAGGCGCGCACCATGACGCTCGGCTAATTTTTGTATTTTTAGTAGAGACGGGGTTTCACCATGTTGGCCAGGCTGGTCTCGAACTCCTGACCTTAAGTGATCCACCCTCCTTGACCTCCCAAAGTGCTGGGATTACAGGCTTGAGCTACCACACCCAGACAAGATGTCCACTCTCATCACTTTTTTTTTTTTTTTTTTGAGATGGAGTCTTGCTCTGTTGCCCAGGTTGGAATGCAGTGGCATGATCTCGGCTCACTGCAAGCTCCGCCTCCTGGTTCACGCCATTCTCCTGCCTCAGCCTCCTGAGTAGCTGGAACTACAGGTGCCCGCCACCACGCCTGGCTAATTGTTTTTTTTTTTTTTCAGTAGAGACAGGTTTTCACCGTGTTAGCCAGGATGGTCTCGACCTCCCGACCTCGTGATCCACCCACCTCGGCCTCCCAAAGTGCTGGGATTACAGGCGTGAGCCACCACCCTCAGCCACTCTTCTCACTTTCTATTAACACTGTATTAGAAATCCTATCAAAAAGTAGGACAAAGCCTGGCACAGAGATCAAGGCATGAGGATCACTTGAGGTCAGAAGTTCGAGACCACCCTGGCCAACATGGCGAAACCAAAATACAAAAATTAGCCGAGCGTGGTGGTAGGCGTCTGTAATCCCAGCAATTCGGGAGGCTGAGGCAGGAGAATCACATGAACCGAGGGAGGCAGATAATGCAGTGAGCCAAGATCACACCACTGCACCCCAGCCTGGGCGACAAAGCAAGACTTTGTCTCAAAAAAAATAAATAAAAGAAGTCATCTGTTTATCAATTATACGTCAATAAAGTTTAAGAAAACTGAAAGTCATGAATATTGAAAAGGGAGAAGTAAAACTGTCATTATTTGCAGATAACATGTTTATGTACACAGAAAACCCAATGGAATCTGCCCAAAACACAACTGGAATTAGTAAGTAAATTGCTTACAAGAACCCAGAATGAAAATAAACTTAGAAAAATCAATTGTATTTTGGCCGGGCGCAGTGGCTCACGCCTGTAATCCTAGCACTTTGGGAGGCTAAGATGGGCGGATCACCTGAGGTCAGGAGTTTGAGACCAGCCTGGCCAATGTGGTGAAACTCCATCTCTACTAAAAATACAAAAATTAGCCGGGCATGGTGGTGGGTGCCTGTAATCCCAGCTGAGGCAGGAGAACTGCTTTAACCTGGGAGGCAGAGGTTGCAGTGAGCCGAGATCGCGCCACTGCACTCCAGCCTGGGCAACAAGAGTGAGACTCTGTCTCAAAAAAAAACAAAAAAGAAAAATCAATTGTATTTTTACATTCTAGCCATGAACGCTGGAAACAATTTTTTAATATCATTTTAAGCAGTGAACAAACGTTAAGTTCCAATAATTTAAGAGAAGTCATGCAAGGGCTGGGCACAGTGACTCACACCTGTTAATCCCAGCACTCTGGGAGGCCAAGGCAGGAAGATCACTTGAGCCCTGGAGTTTAAGACCAGCCTGAGAAACATAGTGACACCCCCATCTCTACAAAAAACAATTAAAATTAATTAATTAACTGGGCATGGTAACACATGCCTGTGGTCCCAGCTACTCTGAAGGTTGAGATGGAATGACTGCTTGAGCCTGGGAGTTTGAAGCTGCAGCAAGCTGTGACCATGCCACTGTGCTCCAGCATACATGACAGTGAGGCCCTGTCCCCCCCCTAAAAAAAAACACTCATGCAAAATCTCTATATTTAAAAACTACAACACTGCTAAGAGAAAACAGAGACCCAAACAAATAAGGAAGTACATCATATTCAAGGATTTTAATATGCAATATTGTTAAGATGTTTATTCTCCCCAAATTGAGCTACAGATTCAATGTAATCTCAAACAAAATCTCAAAGAGGAGAAAGCTGCAGAGCATAAGAATGTATACTACCTTATTCCAAGACTCTTTTTTTTTTGGAGACAGTCTCGCTCCGTTGCCAGGCTGGAGTGCAGTGGCATGATCTCGGCTCACTGCAATCTCCGCCTCCCAGGTTCAAGCGATTCTCCTGCCTCCTGCCTCAGCCTCCCGAGTAGCTAGGATTACAGGTGTGCACCACCACACCCAGCTAATTTTTTTTTCAAGACTTTTATTATAAAGCTTTAGTAATCAAAACCATTTGGTACTAGTGTAACTCTAATCTACTAGATCAATGAAACAAAAACCAAAAATAAACCTGTAACTAGTTTTCAAGAAAGAGCCCAACACAAGTCAATGGGAAAAGGCAAGTATTTTCAACAGATAGTGCTGGAACAACTGGATATACATGTGAAAAAAAGTCATCTGGAATTTATTTTGGTATCATAATGAGGTTACCGCATTATAATAAACATCCATAAGATAATACTTACATTTTTTATTTTGATGTTTCCCCAATCATCATCCTGTTTCAAAGACAAACAAAAGACATTTAACCACTTCTGTACAAGCAGAACATAATCTAATAATCAATTTATTTTAACCTACTTCAAAACAGAATAAAATTTATCCTGTATGCAGATTTTATTTAAAATTACAGCAATAAAAAAAAAATTTTTTTTGGCCAGGCACGGTGGCTCACGCCTGTAATCCCAGCACTTTGGGAGGCCAAGGCAGGCGGATCACCTGTGGTCAGGAGTTCGAAACCAGCCTGACCAATATAGAGAAACTCCATCTCTACTAAAAATACAAAAAGTAGCTGGGCATGGTGGTGCACACCTGTAATTCCAGCTACTCGGGAGGCTGAGGCAAGATAACTGCTTGAACCCAGGAGGCAGAGCTTACAGTGAGCCGAGATCTCACCACTGCACTCCAGCCTGGGCAACAGAGCAAGGCTCCATCTCAAAAAAAAAAAAAATTTCTTTAAACACAAGCGGTCCTAAAGCCAGGGTTTCAAATAATTTGCTTCAACTGCATAAGGTAACACAATATAAAAGGCAGTAACCTTTACAGCATCAAATACTAAAAAACACATAAGTATAAAAAAAAATACTTTTAGCAAGTACTAAAATACACTTGACTAATGACAGATGATAGATCCTATTTTTTGGGTGTTTGGAACCAGCAGAGCTAATAAATAACTAGCTTACATGGCAAGAATGAAGAGTTAATGTAATTAAGGTGACTCTATAATTTACCATCAAAACCAGGAGACTCAAAAGAATACAAATGCTAGAATAAACCAGACTACCCAAGGCAAACTAAATCTTACTAGTACTTGCATAACCACAAATGTTTCTCAAGTGCTAAATTTCACATCTATAAAGCAATTACTTTCCCTTCAATATGTTAAATAAAGATCAATATATTTTTTTAAATGCATGATTAGTCCAGAGTAATATTTTAACTTACTGCAGCTAGGCCTTTCCCCTCATAGGATAAAGTCGATTCCATATTACTCCCTTTTATAGAAAGTATTGGGTATTCAATATGCTTGTCTACCCTTCATTGGTGCCACTAATTATATCCTCTATCTGCTTTAAAATGGAACAGTAACTTCCTACAGGCCCTTCTCAATTTAAGGACTATGACCGCTAGAGATAACGAATGATAACTATAAATGCCCTCTAAGATCACTCACCCAAGGTCACACAAAGCTGGGAATGGAACACAGATCTGCTTGATTTATAAATCATAAGCTCATTTGGTGCCTTACTATGTTACTTAAACCTCTTTGACACTCATTTATAAAATTTCCTGATTTATAAGATATGGACAACATATAGCTGAAAATTAAAGAAAATAGAATAAAAGCCTGACACAGAATAAGTACTCAATAAATGGTAACTATTAGCAGTCACAGTTTCATTTAATTTGCATACTTCTGTAACTCCTGACAGCATACCACTAGTACAGTGTTCAGCACGAATTAGGCTATGAAGTTCACTAAAGGCCAAAGGTTCATACTGTACCTTCAGAGGTAAACAAAGTTATTTTCCTCCAACATGTGTTTTACTGCCCTGAGGGGGTAGCCAGTCTTTGTCTTTAAAGTTAACTACAGATCTCTAGCATTTTATCTAACCCTTGAAGAAAGTATTTTTTAAAACTATACTTATATTATTAAAAACAACAGAGGCCGGGTGTGGTGGCTCACGCCTGTAATCCCAGCACTTTGGGAGGCCCGAGGCGGGCAGATCACTTGAGGTCAGGAGACCATCGCCAACATGGTGAAACACTGTCTCTACCAAAAATACAAACATTAGCCAGGGGTGGTGGCGGTGACCTGTAATCCCAGCTATTCAGGAGACTGAGGCAGGACAATCACTTGAGCCCAGGAGGCGGTGGTTGTAATGAGTTGAGATGGCGCCACTGCACTCCAGCACCTGAGTGACAGAGGGAGACTCAATCTCAAAAATAATAATAATAATAATAGATATCTTCTTGTCTTTTCTTCAGTCCTTCATCAGTGATGCTGGCAAGGATGGATTCTTAACTGTGGTCACTGTGATCATTCCAAAGGAAGTAAAGAAAAAAATTAGGTTTATTCTCTTTTTAAACAGAATTTTTTTCCTCCCATCTCCAGGTAGGAGTTAGGTAATAATTACTGTTATGGAAAAAGGGGACCAGGTGCAGCGGCTCACGCCTGTAATCCCAGCACTCTGGGAGGCCGAGGTGGGCAGATCACTTGAGGTCAGGAGTTCAAGACCAGACTGGCCAACATGGTGAAACCCCATCTCTACTAAAAATACAAAAATTAGCCGGGCATGGTGGTGGACACCTGTAATTCCAGCTACTCAGGAGGCTGAGGCAGGAGAATCGTTTGAACCCAGGAGGCAGAGGTTGCAGTGAGCCACGACAGCGCCACTGCACTCCAGCGTGGGCAACAGAGCAAGACTCGTCTCAAAAAAAAAGAAAAAGAAAAAAAGAAAAAAACGGCTCTTCATTAATGGGTAGGATGCAATAAAGGCCAAAAAAAAAAAAAAAAACGAACAGTTTTCCAGAACCAGGGCTTTGGTAAAAATGCTGAAGTGCTTTGAATTTCAACATACAAATGCATGTACAAAATTACATTCTGTAATAGTTTTTTAAGAAAACAAACCTATCTGTATTGTTCCATATGTTTAAGCTGAGATAAAATTTTCCAACCTCATCGCAGAAAATTACTAAGGAAATATTAATTGATTTCATTTTAGTCTAAACAAAATAAAACTAATACTTTTAATACATCCTCATAGGAAAAAAAATTCACACAATACAGATAACTGTAAAGTATTCCACTCTTCTGACCCACAGAGGTATCTGGTAATACAATACATTTTAAAATAAAATTTAAATGATGCTTTTAGAACAAAGTCATGTCCTTTGCAGCAACATGGATGGAGCTGGAGATCATTACCTGTTAGTTCCTTAGTAAACTAATGCAGGAACAGAAAAGCAAACCGCATGTTCTAATTTTAAGTGGGAGCTAAATAGTGAGAACACATAGACACATAGAGAGGAACAATAGACACTGGAGCTTACTTGAGGGTGGAGAGTGGGAGGAAGAGGATCTTAAAAAAAAAACAACTACCTGTCAGGTACTATGCTTAGTACCCGGGTGATGAAATCTGTATATCAAAACCCTGTAACACAGGTTTACCTATATAACAAACCTGCACATGTACCTCAGAACCTAAAAGTTAAAAATAAATAAAAGTAAAAAGAGTTTTAAAAGGATGTTTTTATAATACAGTATAGTGTTGTGAAACAGCTACAATGTTTCTCCCTTACTCTAACATGCATAAGACAGTTTAAACCCCATAGATGACATATTCTCATCATATAAAAAAGTACTTCAAATGCTACATTAAAATTAAATACATTTTCCAGTGTTATTTTTCAAAAAGTATACAATAATAGTAACGTGATGAAAATTTGGACTACATTTTACCTTTAGAGTTCCTCCTTTCACCATAACTTTCTGTCTGGCAGGCTGGACTCCAGTCAACGCAAACAGCTGAGCCTTGAACACCATTGGAGGTTCATCAGTATTCAATTCTACACCTTCAAATTTCTCCTTTCCCCATTTTACAGTAACTGCAAACAAAATCACAATTTTTTAAATTAAAAAATAACAAGAAAAGAATTACAGACCCTTAGAAGATCACCAATTAGGCAGTTATCAAGAGTCAAAGTATGTCATTCATCTTTCTATGCCCATAATGCCTACCTAATCAAGAGCAGCATGCATGCAGTAGGTGCTGAATAAAATTTCACTGGATCAAACCTAACTTCTCATTTCATAGTTAAAGAAACTGAGACTTCAGTGGGCTGGGAGTGGTGGCTCACGCCTGTAATCCCAGTACTTTGGGAGGCTGAGGCGGGCAGATCACAAGGTCAGGAGTTCGAGACCAGCCTGTCTCTAATAAAAATACAAAAATTAGCCGGGTGTGGTGGCAGGCGCCTGTAATCCCAGCTACTCGGGAGGCTGAGGCAGGAGAATCGCTTGAACCCGGTAGGCGGAGGTTGCAGTGAGCCAAGATCGTGCCACTGCACTCCAGCCTGGGCGACAGAGCGAGACTCCAGTCTCAAAAAAAAAAAAAGAAACTGAGACTTCAGAGAAGTAGATTGATTTGCTAATGTCAAAAAAAATTGGTTAATAAACTCCCAAGTCTTCTGAATCCTACTCCAACAATATGATCGTATTGAAACATTTCCCAAAATGGTAAGTTTTGCAGCCCCCACAATGTGTTTAATTGAAGAATCATTCATATCAGCACACAGCATTGGAAAAGAAGAGAGAGAAAAAGGTTAGATAGTTTAAGAGAAGAAAAAAATTCCTGGGAGAATAAAGCACATCTAGAACAACTTAAGGAATACAGAATCTGAGTCATAAGAAATGTGGGAGAATTGAAAAGTGTCATTTCTGAACAAGAGGTGCTCGATTAAGAAAAAATCCAGAGACATATCTAAAGCATTTAAAAATATATAGAAATCCCACTTCACAGCCATTAGAATGGCTATTCTTTTCAAATTTTAACAGAAAGTAACAAGCGTTAGCAAAGATGTGGAGAAACTGGAACACTTGTATACCTCTGGTGGGAATAAAAGTAAACATAAAATTACCATATGATCCAGCAATTTCATTTCTGGGTACACCCTGAAGATCGGGAAGCAAGGACTCAAACAGATACTTGTACACCCATGTCTACAGCAGCATTATTCACAACAGCCAAAAAAAGCGGGAGCAACTCAAGTGTCCGTCTACAGATTAATGGACAAAGAAAATGTGGTATATACATACAATGCAATATTATTCAACCTTAAAAAGGAAAGAAACTCTTACACATGCTACAACATGGATGATTCCGGTTATGTGAGATACCTAAAGTGGTCAAACGCATACACACAAAAAGAGAATGGTGTTTGCCAGAGGATGTGGACGAAGGTAATAGTTGTAAAAAAGTGTGAATATACTTAATGCTATAGAACTGCACACGTAAAAACCATTAAAATGGTAAACTTTATTACATACATTTTACCAAAATAAAAAATTTCAATCAGCCTCATAACATAGCTAACTTTTGAAATAAATTTTTTAAAACCCAAAGATATATATTAGTTCCACTGAAAACTTTATAACTTTTCAGAAATAAGAATCTCACAACTGTTAACTGCTTTCTAACTCCTGAAATCAGAATTTGAAAACCTCATCCAGACACCAAATCCCAATTCTATCATCAGTTCAATGAATATGTTGAGCATTCATTTAATGACAAGCCCAGTACAAAACATTGGGAAGACTCTCCACAAACTTACAGCCTAATAAGGGCGGGGTGGGGGGGAGTAATTAACAATATAAGTATTATAAAGGCTACAGCAACAAAGTGGAATGCTTCATAAATGAGGAAAGATTTCCTGGATGAAGTATTAACTTCTGAGTTATCACTATCAATTCTGAATCTCAAAGAAAAGATTAGGTGTTAGAGACTAGGAGAGAACAGAAGTATTCCCAGAAAAGAAGGAAAATATTCCACAGCATAAAGCAGCATGGTAAGTTCTAAGATGTAAGTAATTGATTACCAGAGAAAAGGGAAAGCAGCAGTAGATGAAACTGGAAGCTGGCTAAGGATCAAGTTATGGAAGATAAGTCATCCTAAAACATATATAAAGAGGCCAGGCACGGTGGTTCATGCCTGTAATCCCAGAACTTTGGGAGGCTGAGGCGAGTGGATCACCTGAGGTCAGGGGTTCGAGACCAGCCTGGCCAATATGGTGAAACCTTGTTTCTACTAAAAATACAAAAATTAGCTAGGCAACGTGGCAGACACCTGTAATTCCAGCTACTCGCGAGGCTGAGGCAGGAGAATCGCTTGAAACCAGGAGGTGGAGGTTGCAGTGAGCCAAGATTGCACCATTGCACCCCACACTGGGCAACAAGAGCAAAACTCAGTCTCAAAAATTAAAAAAATAAAATAAAATAAAACACATAAAGGCTTTATATTGTAGGCAACGTGTAATTCCTGAAAGGCTGTCATAAGCAGAGAAATCGGGCTTGAAGAGGGCACACTGTAATCACTGAAATAAACTAGAAGCATATTACAATAGTACAAGCTAAAGATGCTACACGATTAAACCAAAACAGTACTAGAAGTAAAGGAAACTACCTGAAATTTATTGCGCTATTGCCATGAGCAAGTTACTTAAAACGTTTTGCTTATGCTTACAAGAGGAATTATACCAGTATCACAGGATTATGTTGAAAATTAAAACAAAGCAATATGTACAAAACCCTAACTCTGTAAGAGGCACAGGTGTGTGTTTATTTTTAGAGACGGGGGTCTTGCTCTGTCACCCAGGCTGGAGTGCAGTGGTGTGATCACAGACCACAGCACCCTCTAACTCCTTGGCTCAAGTGATCCTCCCAACTCAGCTTCCCGAGTAGCTGGGATTAAAGGCACACACGACGGCCCCTGGCTTTAATTTTTAATTGCACTTATCCTTAACCATTTAATAATCTAGATACGTAATTTTTTTCTTTTCTCGAGATGCAGTTTCGCTTTTTTTCACCCAGGCTGAAGTGCAATGGTGCGATCTTGGCTCACTACAACCTCCGCCTCACGGTTTCAAGCGATTCTCCTGCCTCAGCCTCCCAAGTAGTTGGGATTACAGGCGCCCGCCACCACTCCCGGCTGATTTTTGTATTTTTAGTAGAGACGGGGTTTCAACATGTTGGCCAGGCTGGTCTCGAACTCCTGACCTCAAGTGATCCGCCCACCTCGGGCCTCCCAAAGAGCTGGGATTACAGGCGTGAGCCACTGCGCCAAGCCTACATACTTAATTTTCTACTAAATCTTATGAAATAGTACTTAAAATGTTCTCTTCATTTTAATATAGAGCTTTTTGCTGACCCTCAAAATACAGATTATCGATATGGAGAGGTCAAAGGAAGGGACCTTAGAAATCTACTCGAGTTCCCTCATTTGAGGGATGAGGAAAAGATCTGATTAAATATTTAAGATAAAGTTCACATTTTAAAGAAGAAACTTTGGTCAGCGCTGGCATTTTTTGAGGAAACATATAGGGGTTTTAAGTGTGTGAACCTACTGGTGTATTTAGGTATTAGAATATTTCAAGAGTCATTCTACTGTTGTTATGGCTTTAGAAAAGGGTTGGGCAATCATTAAGAAGTCGATTAAAGATTCTAGACCATCAAGAATCCACCTTGAGATCAAACAATACTCTTATTCGTATCATGCTTTGTAAATGCTGAATCTTCAATAAAGGAACTGTGACAGAATAAATAGGGATGGTCAATGAATCACACATCTACAGCCAATTGGAGACACCACACATATTTTAGGTGCCATTTTGAATAAGGCTAGGGAGCAGCAAGGTCCATTCTCTAAGCAAAAGTGATCCCTGGCCAGTACCTTGGACTGTCAGCAAGCAAACAACACAAGCCCTTGTCAAACGCCAATCAAGAAATGACACCCCGGGGATATGTGTATTCATCTACTTCCGAAAGCTCACACCATGTTTCGGATAGAGAAATGCAATGCAACGTCTGATGAAACGAAAACGAAGCAAAAAGGTTTACAATCTGCCTCGGGACAAAACTAAAACTGGTACCAAAGGGGCGGTCGAACAAAGGCAAGGGGCAAGAGAAGGGCGAAGGGCGGCGAACGCCGCCTGGCAACCCCAAGAAGGATGAAGGCTCACCTTCCGTCCCGGGTCCCTCCATCCCTCCCCTTCTTCCCCGCTCCCTTCCACGGCGACCACTGAGAAGCCCAAAGGAATCGCCCTGCACCTCCAGCCTGGTGCCCAGCGCCTCAGGACACACCCTCACTTTCACCGCACACCAGGGCAGCGTCAGAAACTATTCTGCAGAGTCACGACTTTGAGAGGCTTCCCCATCTCCACTCCCCCCATCCATCCGGGGACCGCGCTCCCCCGCCACGCAGGGCTCCAACCCAGCCGGGAGAGGGGTAGGTGCCAGGGTTGTCTCCGCACCGCCGGCCCCGCGCACCCCACCCCGACCCCTCCCGGCCCATGCCCGGCGCCCACCAGTGCAGGCCAGGCCTACGCGGAGGCCTAGCGCCGGCCCCGTGTACTGCGCGCGAGGCCAGGACGGGGCTCACCGGAGTAGAGCGGCATGGCGGGGCGCGGCGGGAGGCGGCGGCGCAGGAGGGCTGGGCCTGACAAGGGCGGCGAAGAGACAGAGACCAGAAGCAGCTGCGGCGGCGGCCGAGGCGGAGGCGCGGTGGTGGCGGCGGCTTCGGTGCGACGAGAGCCTCATTCAAACCGGCCACTGGCGATGACGCAGCAACACGCAGAACACCCGTGCAGCTCCGGAGCGACTGCAGGGAGGAGACAGGGCGGCAGGGGCGGGGCGGGGCCTGGAGGTGGCGAGAGGAGGGAGGAGGGGGAAGGCGGTGGAGGGGTGGCGGGAAGCAAGGAGGGAGCGAGGGAGGGACGGGCTCTGGGCCCCAGCCACAGCAGCAGGTGCGCGCCTGCGCACTGCTGCCCACCGCTCTGCGCCCACTGGCCACGTGGTCTTGGCGCGGCCCAGCCCTGCGGCAGATGAAGTGGGAACTTGGTATCCCACTTGCTGTCTGAGGCTGAGGCGGGAGAATCGCTTGAGCCCAGGAGGTCGAGGCTGCAGTGAGCTGTGATCGTGCCACTGCACTCCAGCCTGGGCGACAGAGCGATACCCTGCCTCAAAATAAAATAAATAAAATTAGTGGTTGTAAAGTCAGAGGTGTTTTGAATCCCAGCTGTTACTAGCTAGCTGTATGATGTCTGCAAACCTCAGTTTTCTTGTTATTCACCCACACCTCATTTTACTGAGGTTTTGTTTTTGTTTTTGTTTTTAATAAATTGAAGGCTCGTGGCAACCCTGGGTTAGCAAGTCTGTCAGTTCTTTTTTTCTAACAGCATGTACTCACTTTGTGTCTCTGTGTCACATTTTGATAATTCTCACAATACTTTAACTTTTTTAATACTATTATATCTGTTCCAGTGGTCTATGATTAGGGATCTTTGATGTTACATGGTAACATCAGATTGTTTTGGGGTGCTACTAACCACCCCCATGTAAAACAGCAAACTCCAATGTTTTGTGTATTCTGACTGCTCTGGCAACAAGTCTTTTCCCACAAGGGTTCAAGGCTTGAGTTGAGGACACAACTGCAGATGTGGTGGAAATAGCAAGAGAACTAGAATTAGAAGTGGAGCCCGCAGATGTGACTGAATTGCTGCAATCTCAAGACAAAGCTTTAATGGGCAAGGAGTTGCTTCTTATGGATCAGCAAAGAAAGTGGTTTCTTGAGATGGAAACTACTCCTGGTGAAGATGCTGTGAACACTGTTGATTGACAACAAAGGATTTAGAATATTCCATAAACTACGGAACTGTTGATAAAACAGAAGCAGGGTTTGACAGGATTGACTCTAATTTTGAAAGAAATTCAAATCTGAAAGTTCTTTTGTGGGTAAAATGCTAAACAGCACTGCATGTCACAGGGAAAACTCTCATGAAAGGAAGAGTCAATCCATGTGGCAGATTTCATTGTCTTATTTTAAGAAATTGCCACAGCTACCCCAAACTTGAGCATCCACCACTCTGATCAGTCAGCAACCATTAACATTAAGGCAAGACCCTCTGCCAGCAAAAAGATGACGATTCACTGACAGCTCAGATGATCCTTAGCATTTTTTAGCAGTAAAGTTTTGTTTGTTTTGAGACAGGGTCTCACTCTGTCACCCAGGCTGGAGTGCAGTGGCGCAGTTACGGCTCACTGCAGCCTCAACCTCCCAGCTCAAGCTATCCTCTCACCTCAACCTCCTGAGTAGCTGGGACTACAGGCGTGCGCCACCACACATGGCTAATTTTTTTTGTATGTTTTGTAAAGACGGGATTTCGCCATGTTGCCCTGGCTGGTGTTGAACTCCTGGTCTCAAGCAATCTGCCCACCTAGGCCTCCCAAAGTGCTGGGATTTCAGGCATGAGCAACTGTACCCAGCCTTGACACTAAATAGACTGCAGTATAGTAGAAACATAACTTTTATATGCACTGGGAAACCAAAAACTTTGTGTGACTCACTTTATTACAATATTAGCAATATTGCAGTGGTCTGGAACTAAACTAGCAATATCTTCAAGTTGTGCATGTAAAATGGAGAAAACGGTATAATATCTACATCACAGAATTGTTACAAGGACTAAATAAGATTATGTATAGAAGATTCTTAGCACAGTGCATTGCACATGGTTGCAATAAATGATACCTATTTTATATTACACAGTAAAACTTCAAAGGGATTTTGCAGGGTATGCTAGAATAGTAGCCTATGGATAGCTTTATTTTCTATTTTTTTAATATTCAGTAATATATTTCTATAACATATATATTTAAAAATGTATTGCATAGATTGGCCAGGCACCATGGCTTACGCCTGTCATCCCAGCACTTTGGGAGGCCGAGGCAGGTGGATTGTTTGAGCTCAGGAGTTCCAGACCAGCCTGGGCAATGACGTGAGACCCCCATTTCTACAAAAAATTTAAAACTTAGCCAGGCATGGTGGTGCATGCCTGTAGTCCCAGCTATTCGGGAGGCTGTGATGAGATGGGAGGGTGGCTTGAACCTGGGAGGCAGAGGTTCCAATAGCCAAGATGCATCACAACACTCCAGCCTGGGTGACAGAGCAAGACTCTATCTCAAAAAAAATAAAAATAAAAATAAAATAAATAAAAATGTATAGATCATCTGTGGAAAAATCTGTGCTGCCCTTTGTTGAAGTTGACAGTAAAGGAGGCCTAAAGATTGAAAGATTCAGAGGCAAATCATCATCCTCTCTACTACACTCACATTGCAACTTGTGCTTTTTTTTTCTTTTTTTTTTTTTTCTTTTTTTTTCTTTTTCTTTTTCTTTTTTTTTCTTTTTCTTTTTCTTTTCCTTTTTCTTTTTGAGACAGAGTGTTGCTGTGTCACCCAAGCTGGAGAGTAGTGAGCAATCATGGCTCACTGCAGCCTCCACCTCCCAGGCTCAAGTGATCCTCATGCCTCAGTCTCCCAAGGAGCAGGATTATAGGCGTGTACCACCATGCCTGACTAATTTTTGTGCTTTCTGTAGAGATGGGGTTTCTGCCATGTGGACCAGGCTGGTCTCAAACTCCTGGCCTCAAGCGATCCGCTCACCTTGGCCTCCCAAACTGCTGGGATTACAGGCATGAGCCACCATGTCCGGCCAGCTTTTTCTTTAGTAATTCATCACACTTCTATTTTTTTAATGTCTGTATTCCCCCCAAGTACACTATAAACAGGAATTGTGGCTATCTGGTAGGCACTCAGGAATTACCTGATGCTGTGAGAACTGGATGTGAAAGTTACCTATCTGAAGTTTATTCATTCTGTAGATGACCAGGGAATCTTGTAGACCAAGTTTTGGTCCCTTTGGTACCATTAGCTTCTTCCAGCCTCTTTGAAAATCTGCAGACCTAAACTTAAGACAGATGGGGGCAGAGTGAGGAGGTGGAACCATGCTAGCAACTGAAAGGAAGCATAAAAAAAAAATTTGCACAGCTGGCCTTCCTAGACGTCAGAGAGAGTTGTAGATGACAGCAACCTCGTCACCATGACACACATTGCTAAGCCCTGCCCTCCATGTGTTTAATGGATGGGTAAGTTCTATAAAAAATGACCAAATATCAGAAATGTTTTCACTAGGTGAATTACCTACAATTTATTGCTTAGAATGCACCCTCCTTCCTCATCTGGCCATGGGAAATCCTGTCCAACTTTAAAGTTTCCATTTAATGCTTTTTTACATAAACTGAAAGCCTTCTTGTACAATCACTCCTTCGTGTCAAATAGTATTATGTGTTATTATGGCTGTTTTAGTTTCCCATGAGTGCTGCAATTAATTATTACAAACCTAGTGGCTTAAAACAACATAAGTTTATTGTAAGTTTATGATCTTACAGTTCAGGTGGTCAGAAGTCTGAGACTGGTCTTAACATTAAGGTGTTGGCAGGACTGCATTCCTAGAGGCTCTGAGGGTGAATTCTTTTTTTTTTTTTTTTTCAGACGGAGTCTCACTTTTTCACCCAGACTGGAGTGCAGTGGCACCATCTCAGCTTACTGCAGTCTCCGCCTCCTGGGTTCAAGCGATTCTCATGCCTCAGCCTCCCAACTAGCTGGGATTACGGGCACAGACCACCACGCCGGCTAATTTTTGTATTTTAGTAGAGACAGGGTTTTGCCATGTTGGCCAGGCTGCTCTCGAACTCCTGACCTCAGGTGATCCACCGGCCTCGGCGTCCCAAAGTGCTGGGATTACAGGATTGAGCCACTGCACCCAGCCTCTGAGGGTAGATCTGTTCCTTACTCTTCCCAGATTCTATACACTGTCCACATTCCTTGGCTCCTGGCTCCATTCCAGCCACAGCATCACTCCAGCCCCTGCTTGAGTCGTCACAGCGCCTGCTCTGACTCTGACCTCTGCCTTCCTTTTAGAAGGCCCCTTGTGATTACATTAGCCCCAACTGAATAATTCCAGATACTATTTTCATTTTAAGATCCTTAATCACATCATCCAGTCCCTTCTGGAAGGCAACCAACATATTCATAGGTTCAGGAGATTAACACATGGACATATTTGTAGAAGTATCATTCTGTCTACCAAGGACTGCCAATAAATAATAAAACAAAAAACAACGAATATCACTACACTTTCTTAGAGCACCTATAGTTTAATATTCCTATGTTTCCCTCTTCTCTCTCTACTAAATTATAAATTATAAGCCCTACTGGACGCGGTGGCTCACACCTATAATCCCAGCTCTTTGGGAGGCCGACGGGGGGGGGGGGCAGATCACCTAAGGTCAGGAGTTCAAGACTAGCCTGGCCAACATGGTGAAATTCTGGCTCTACTAAAAATACAAAAAATTAGCCTGGCATGGTGGCATGCGCCTGTAATCCCAGCTACTTGGGAGGCAGGGGCAGAAGAATCACTTGAACCCGGGAGGCAGAGGTTGCAGTGAGCCAAGATTGTGCCATTGCACTCCAGCCTGGGTGACAGAGCGAGACTTTCTCAAAAAAAAAATAAATAATAATAAACTATAAGCCCTGCCTTAAATAATCTGGGATCCTGCCGGGCATGGTGGCTCATGCCTGTAATCCTGGCACTTTGGGAGGTCGAGGCTGGCAGATTGCTTGAGGTCAGGAGTTTAAGACCAGCTTGGCCAGCGTGTTGTAATCCCCTCTCTAAAAATACGAAAC